GTGGGGGGGGGCAGCTCAGCCCACCAGGGGGCGGGGCTGGCTGGCATGTGGTGCTGGGGGATTGAACCGCGGTCCCTGTGCTTTGCTAAGCTTGTTCCAAATAGGTGTTTTAGACCGCTGAGCCATCTCACCAGCCCTACTGTAGAGATTTTTGAGGTTCATTCAGTTCAGTAAGATGGCTCTGAGATCATCAGATGCAGTTTTGATCCCTGAGTCCTCCTCTGTGACTTTGTATTTCCAGACTTTCCAAATGTCTAATGGCATCTTTTGCAGCCTAACAGAGCATCTGCTTTCTTCTCAGCTACTTTCTGGATGCTCGTTAAGTCCCTTCTTAACTGTGGCGGTGCTGTTCTCTTACTTTCTCATGTTTAGCGGCTTTCCTAGTCTGTCACTACGGCATTTTTTTGGTATATTGAAAATTTGAAAGTTTTAAGTAGTTAAATCTTTCATTGATTTCTTTACCTTTGTATTTATAGTTCTTGCCTAGATAGTCTTTTTACTATGATATAGATTTTAACAGTGCTCCCCCTTTTTTTTTTTTAGTTGCAACTACCGGCCCTTCAGTATATTATAGTCAGTCACCAGCATATAATTCCCAGTATCTTCTCAGACCAGCAGCTAATGTTACTCCCACAAAGGTAACAAAGGAATAATTTATACATTTACAACTGTTTTTTCCTTTTTAATTATTTAGGTTTTCTTTAAAGAAATTCAGGGTTGTAGTTCAATATTAAGACTTATATATCCCTTAAGATGCAGACACTTTAAATTTCTTTCCAGATAATAGAAGTTATACTTTACTTATAGTCACTTTCTTTTTCTGTGGTAATGATAGTGTGAACATTTAGAATATGTTTTAAATGGGAGTGGTGTTGGTGCTCGATCTTCCATTCTTCTGTTTGACAGAAGTAGAACTAGACTGTCCTTGCCGAGCCGCTGTGTGGTAAGTACTTGTAGGCTGATGCAGCTACCTAACTCTGGATTATGATCTGATATTACAGCTGTAGTGGGGTGTGAGGCTTTGACAGAAGGACAGGGCAGTTTAGACCCTTGCTCTTCCGCCTGATGTGACTCTGGGCACGTTCCTTACCTTTTGTGTTCCTCATATAGAATGAAGATAGTAGTGGCACCTTCATTCATAAGGCTCTTTAGGGTGTTACAGTGCGGTAGTGTGTTGAGAACAGCGCCCATTTGGCACAAGTGATAAGTGCTCATGATAAGTCTTCCCTGTCATCGTTACTGTTTTTAACATCATTCTGTATACTGTATAGGCATGAAGAAGGTAATTTTTTTTGGTATAGATGTAGACTTTTAAGGTGCTGTATGAGTTTTCATTGTACATTAGGCATATGCCCTATGTGAGTAGCTTTGTATGCAGTAAGGCTGCCTTTTCTTAATGAGTGGGTTTGTCTGTACCATGTGGTACTCTTTTTACCTCATAATACTCATATGTAAGCTTTGTGAGAATTGATGTCTGTTTAGTTCTCTAGTCTCGCAGACAATCTATAACATGTTTTTAACTTTTTCTTTTAGGGTCCAGTTTATGGCATGAATAGGCTTCCGCCCCAACAGCATATTTATGCCTACTCACAACAGATGCACACACCACCGGTGCAAAGCTCATCAGCTTGTATGTTCTCTCAGGAAATGTATGGTCCTCCGCTGCGTTTTGAATCTCCTGCAACAGGAATTCTTTCACCCAGGGGTGATGATTACTTTAATTACAATGTTCAGCAGACAAGTACAAATCCACCTTTGCCAGAACCAGGATATTTTACAAAACCTCCAGTTGGAGCTCATGTGTCACGATCTGCAGAGTCTAAGGTTCTAGAGTTTGGAAAACCAAATTTTGTTCAGCCCATGCCTGGTGAAGGAATAAGGCCATCTTTGACAACACCCGCTCATACTACACAGCCAACTCCTTTTAAATTTAACTCAAATTTCAAATCAAATGACGGGGACTTTACGTTTTCTTCACCACAGGTTATAACACACCCCCCTTCTACAGCTTACAATAATAGTGAAAGCCTTTTAGGTCTCCTGACTTCAGATAAACCTTTGCAAAGAGATGGCTATACTGGACCAAAACCAGTTCCAGGTCAAACCATTGGTCCTCGGAATACGTTCAATTTTGGAAGCAAAAATGTGTCTGCAGTCTCATTTACAGAAAATACAGGGCCAAATCAGCAAAAGAATCCCAGTTTTCGCCGAAGTGATGATATGTTTACTTTCCACGGGCCTGGAAAGTCTGGATTTGGAACACCTGCACCTGAACTGGCCAGTAAGAATCTCGAGGCAGAAGGGGGATGTGCCCCCGGGGAGGAGGATGAAGATGGCCCTCACTTCGAGCCTGTGGTGCCTCTGCCTGACAAGATTGAAGTAAAAACGGGTGAGGAAGATGAAGAAGAATTCTTTTGTAATCGTGCAAAATTGTTCCGTTTTGATGGAGAATGCAAAGAATGGAAGGAACGTGGGGTTGGCAACGTGAAAATACTAAGGCATAAAACATCTGGTAAAATTCGTCTTCTGATGAGACGAGAGCAAGTACTGAAAATCTGCGCCAATCATTACATCAGTCCAGATATGAAACTGACACCAAATGCAGGATCAGACCGATCTTTTGTGTGGCATGCCCTTGATTATGCAGATGAGTTGCCAAAGCCGGAACAGCTAGCTATTAGGTTTAAAACTCCTGATGAAGCAGCACTTTTTAAGTGCAAATTTGAAGAGGCACAGAGTCTTTTAAAAGCAGCAAGAACAAATGTAGCTGTAGCACCAAACCAGACCATCAGAATTGTAAAAGAAGCCACAAGTCACGATAGCAAGGATGTTTGCAAGTCTGATGCTGGAAATACAAATTTTGAATTTCAGGTTCCAAAGAAAGAAGCATCTTGGTGGCATTGTAGCAGCTGCTCATTGAAGAATGTTGGCAGTGCTAAGAAGTGTGTATCATGCCAAAACCTAAACCCAAGCAGTACAGAGCTCCGAGGCCCACTATTAGTGGAAAGTGGTTCTGTTCCCAAAGCCAGTCCAGAAAGTGTTCAAGACCGATTCATGTTGATGACGCCAAAGAAGGAGGGTCACTGGGATTGCAGTGTTTGTTCACTAAGAAATGAACTGGCTGTGTCCAGGTGCATTGCATGCCAGAACACACAGTCTCCTAACAAAAGCGCACCTTCGTTTGTGCGCGCTTCCTTTACATTTGGCCAGGGAGATCTTCCCCAGCCTGTCAACAGTGATTTCAGATCTGTGTTTTCTGCAAAAGAAGGACAGTGGGATTGTAGTGTGTGCTTGGTGCGAAATGAAGGAGGCAGTGTAAAATGTGTCTCTTGTCAGAACCCAAGAAAACAGAGTCTGCCCACTCCTTCTGTGCCGGTACCTGGCTCTTTCAAGTTTGGTACTTCAGAGATAAGTAAAACTTCAAAGAGTGTGTTTGAGGACATGTTTGCTAAGAAGGAAGGCCAGTGGGATTGCAGCGAGTGCTTAGTCCGGAATGAAGCAAATGCTGCAAAGTGTGTGGCTTGTCAGAATCCAGCTAAGCCAAGTCCTTCTACTTCTGCTGCTCCAGCTTCTGCCTCCTTGAAGTTTGGATCTTCAGAGATGAGCAAGGCTCCGAAGAGTGGGTTTGAGGGCCTGTTCACCAAGAAGGAAGGCCAGTGGGATTGCAGCGAGTGCTTGGTGCGCAATGAAGCGAGTGCTGCCCAGTGTGTGGCTTGTCAGAACCCGAGTAGACAGAGTCAGCCTGCCCCTGCCATCCCCGCGCCAGTCTCTGCAGACACAGGCAGGTCTCCACAGAGTGGACTGCAAGGAGTGCTTAGGAAAGAAGGACAGGGGCATTGCAGTGTTTGTCTGGTACAAAGTGAGGGTTCTTCCGCACAGTGTGTGGCTTGTGATGCTTGTAAACCTGCTCATAAACCCACTGCAGAAGCTCCTTCAGCTTTCATGGAGGGTTCAAAGGCAAAGCTTACTGAGTCTTCTGGAAGTCCAGTGGGAACAGGGTTTAAAAGTAACTTTCCAGAAAAAACATTTAAGTTTGGCATTACAGAGCAAGGATTTAAGTTTGGGCATGTGGATCAAGAAAATACCCCTTCATTTACATTTCAAGGTCCTGCTAATACAGAATTTAAGTCAATAAAAGAAGGATTTAGTTTTTCCATTCCTGTGTCTGCTGATGGGTTTAAGTTTGGCATTCAGGAGCAAGGGAATCAAGAGAAGAACAGTGAAAAGCACCTTGAAAATGACGCTAGTTCCCAAGCTCAGGATGTTAGCCAGAAAAATGGGAGTGGTGTAATTTTTGGGCAAACAAGTGGGACTTTTACCTTTGCAGATCTTGCAAAATCAACTTCAGGAGAAGGATTTCAATTTGGAAAGAAAGACCCTAATTTCAAGGGGTTTTCAGGTGCTGGAGAAAAGTTATTCTCATCACAAAGTAGCAAACCGGCTGAGAAGGCCAGCACCTGTGCTGATGGGGAGAAGGATGACGAGGCCTACAGGACTGAGGACAGCGATGACATCCATTTCGAACCTGTCGTGCAGATGCCTGAGAAAGTGGAACTGGTAACAGGAGAGGAAGATGAGAAAGTTTTGTATTCACAGCGGGTGAAGTTATTCAGGTTTGATGCTGAAATAAGTCAGTGGAAAGAAAGAGGTTTGGGAAACTTAAAAATCCTCAAAAATGAAGTCAATGGCAAACTTAGGATGTTGATGCGAAGAGAACAAGTTCTGAAAGTGTGCGCCAATCACTGGATAACGACCACCATGAACCTCAAGCCCCTGTCTGGCTCAGACAGAGCATGGATGTGGCTGGCTAGTGACTTCTCTGACGGTGATGCCAAGCTGGAGCAGCTAGCGGCAAAATTCAAAACACCAGAGCTGGCTGAGGAGTTCAAGCAGAAGTTCGAGGAGTGCCAGCGACTTCTCTTAGACATTCCTCTGCAGACTCCCCATAAACTTGTAGATACTGGTAGAGCTGCCAGGTTGATACAGAGAGCCGAGGAAATGAAGAGTGGACTGAAAGATTTCAAGACATTTTTGACAAACGACCAAACAAAGGTTGTGGATGAGGAGAGCAGTGGCCCAGCTGCTAGTGCTGGCAGTGCTGCAGACTCGGGGGTCAGGCGCAGCCCCGAAAACCAGGGGCCCTCGCTGGAGTGGGACAACTACGACCTGCGGGAAGAGGCTCTGGATGACAGTGTTAGCAGCAGCTCAGTTCATGCCTCACCACTGGCCAGCAGCCCTGTAAGGAAGAACCTCTTCCGCTTTGGAGAGTCCACCACTGGGTTCAACTTCAGTTTCAAATCTGCCCTGAGCCCATCTAAATCTCCTGCCAAGTTGAGCCAGAGTAGGGCTTCAGTGGGCACTGATGAAGAATCAGATGTGACTCAGGAAGAGGAGAGAGATGGGCAGTACTTTGAGCCTGTGGTACCTTTACCTGATCTAGTTGAAGTGTCCAGTGGGGAGGAGAATGAACAAGTTGTTTTTAGTCACAGAGCAAAACTCTATAGATACGATAAAGATGTCGGCCAGTGGAAAGAGAGGGGGATAGGTGACATAAAGATCTTACAGAATTATGATAATAAGCAGGTTCGCATAGTGATGAGAAGAGACCAGGTCTTAAAACTCTGTGCCAACCACAGGATAACTCCAGACATGACTCTGCAGACCATGAAAGGAACAGAAAGAGTGTGGGTGTGGACTGCATGTGATTTTGCAGATGGAGAACGAAAAGTAGAACATTTAGCTGTTCGTTTTAAGCTACAAGATGTTGCAGACTTGTTCAAGAAAATTTTTGATGAAGCAAAAGCAGCCCAAGAAAAAGATTGTTTGATAACGCCCCAGGTTTCTTGTTCAAGTACGCCCAGAGAGTCCCCCTGTGGCAAAATCGCTGTAGCTGTGTTAGAGGAAACCACAAGAGAGAGGACAGATGTGATTCCAGGTGATGATGTAGCAGATACAGCTTCTGAGAGTGGAGAGGTGCCTGGTGCATCTGAAACCACAACAAAAGCCGTGGTTTCGCCCCCCAAGTTTGTATTTGGTTCAGAGTCTGTTAAGAGCATTTTTAGTAGTGAAAAATCAAAACCATTCACATTTGGCAACAGTTCGGCTACTGGCTCTTTGTTTGGATTTAGCTTTACTGCACCTTTGAAAAATAGCAGAGAGACTAGTTCAGAGGTACCGACTGGATCCGAAAGACAAGTGGAGCCTGGGGAATGTGAGCCATCACGGGATGCTGGCCCTAGGCAGTCTTCACAAGGCGAACTCAAGAGTCTCTCTACCTCCTTCCCAAAGGAAGAGTCTCTAGCTAATTACATGTTTACAGCACCAGTGAAGGGTAAGTGCTCTTTTTTTAAAATCAGATTTTATTGATACATTTTAGGTATATGTAATAATCACATTCATCATAGAGAATTTGTACCTGTACGTGATAAAACTTGATTGTTCTTTTTCCCCTTTCCCCTACCCTCCCCTCAACCCTTCCTGCCCTCCCCATTTACAAAAGCTTTGTTTCCAGTTTTTCTGCTTTGTCTTTACAGTTAAGTACAACCTCTTTATTATTTACCTTTTTTTTCCCCCCTGTATTTTAGGGAAGGGTCTACAGGGTGTTTTGGGTCTCACTACTAGATCCGACTTGTAGTGATTCTCCTGTTTACAGCCTTCCAAGTGCTAGGATTACAGGCGCGTGCCACCATGCCCAGTCTCAGTCACCATCTTAGTGCACCAGAGGGGTGACTCAAACCCTGGCCCCTGCCCCTGCTTGCAGGCACTTTAATCCGCAGAGCTATTTGGTCGGCCCTATTATTCATCTTAATGCAGGCTGTTTGTAGGTCAGAGTTGGATCATAAATCCTGCCTTGTGAACACCCCAAAAATGAGCAGACTTTTCTCCCTAAACAGTTTCACTTTTGAATATTCAAACAGTAACAAATTGTTGGTAAGTTAGTTAGGTTTCTTTTTTCTTTTTTCTTTTTTTTTTTTTTTTTTTTTTGAGGTACCAAGGAGCAAACCCAGGATCTGCAGGCGCTTAGTTAAGAGATTTCAATAACTAGAAGATAAGTCATGTGTGAGCAAGCAGAAAGAACTGAGTATAGTATAAAGTTGGACATATATCATGCGCATTAGTGTGAGTCTTTTTGGAGGGGACACTAGTGATTGAATCCAGGAAGCACTAAGCTATCTCCCCAGTCAGTTTGTTTGTTTGTTTGTTTATTTATTTATTTATTTATTTATTTATTTATTTATTTATTGCAGAACTGGGGATTGAACTCAGGCCCTTGCGCTTGCCAAGGAAGCGCTTATTCCACTGAGCCATCTCCCCGGCCCTTAATTTTTATTTTGAGGCAGGATCTTCCTAGCCTTAGTTACGCAAAGCAGTGGGGATTCTAGGCATGTGTTGTCCTCACACCCAGTTGAGTCTTTTAAAAAAGTGTTCATTCTTCATGGTTATTGATATCTTCCTATTACTGACATATGTGGTAGTACTGAGATTTTGCTTGTTGTATGGGTTATCTAAATGAACACATAAGAAACTATACTGGTATAAATTGAGGGATTCTGGCTTTATATATTTTAAATAGTACTCATTTTGTTTCCTGGGATGTTCAGAAATACTCTTTTATTTTATAGGATTTAATTTTAACCTTTTTAAATCTAATCCAATGGCCTTTTGGACCAGCACCCTTTCCTCCCAGCCAGAGAGCACAGGTATAGAGTCAGTGCTCTCCGTGTGCGCTGACACAGCTAGTAATCTCTAGCAGAGTAACCATGGCTGTATGAAATTCAGCACCTAACACTACAGCGTGCATGGTAAAGAATGTCATTTTAAACAAAATATGTTCCGACTCCCTTTAATGCTGCTTTTTAAACTTAACTGGATGCTAGCTGTGTTTTCATATTGCATTCTCTTTTTGCTGTTACTGTATTTTATTGCTCTGGTGTCAGCATTGCTTAAGAAGATCTGTGTTTTGTCCAGCCTTTGTCTGTAGCCACTGATGCCTGCCAACCTTGAAGTGTGGTGGCAGCGACATATATACAATATATGTCCCTTTAGGAATTTATTTTTGCTTGTATGTGGTGTGGGAAAATGCTGTACTTGAAAGTGGACCTTGTTTTAATGGCAACCATTTTGTGTATATCATGCATGTAGTGCAGATGATTGGTGGAAGGCAGTGTTGTTAGTGGACTTGAATATTAGGTTGGCAGGATCTGTTGGAGACAGACCTTCAGGAGCAGAGTCGGGGAGTGGATACTCGTGGTCACTGTCCAGTAGTAGCACACTCTGAGCATGCAGAGAGGTGCATGGGTAGAGAGACAGTCCCTGTCTCTAGGGCCTTCATGTCACCTGTTAAGAGCCAAGCTGCTCTTAGAATCTGATGCTTCTAGGAAAGTGGACATACACTGTACTTGTGTTCAGTCTTGGTGGGCTCTTGAGATCCCTGGCCTAAGGGCAGACTTAGCAACATGCTGTAGCAGGACAAAACCTTATTCTACTTGCAATCTGGTTATAATTCTACAAGTCTTAGTAGTGAAGACTGGAGACAGACAGAAGGAAACTAAGGTCTAGCAAGACAGTCTGACTTGACCCACGGCCTTTTTACCAGTGAATGGCAAGGCAGAACTGGAACAAGAGTATGTGTTTTATCGTGCTAGGAAACTGGCACTTGTTTTTGCAGTGGAGAGGAGCAAGTTTAACATTGCAGAAGTTCTTTATAGTAGTGTAACCCAGTAGAAGGAAAATCTGATCTGTGTATATTGCTGTTTTACACTTTCTGGTAGCTAGGTACATGAAAATAAAATCTAAAAAGAAATGGGTGATAAAGGAGAGCACAAGAAATCAATCCTCAGAGTGCATTTTGTTTAACCCACACATGCAAAATATCATTAACATCTACTCAGTATAAAAAATTAGTAAAGTGTTTCATATTGGTTTTTTCACTCCAAGTTTTTAGAATCTAGTATATATGTTTTTTTTAGGAGCACCTTAAAATTTTATTTTTGTTTTTCCAAACAATTCAATTCAGAAACCTAGGGAAAACACGCACACGCACACGCACACACACGAGGGATGAGAGACAAAAATCAAACCCCCTATACCTGTGCTTCTTCCCTGGCTTCTGGGCTGATACTGAACACTTCTTCCCCAGGGACAATTCAGCAACAGACACAAAGCTCTTTGAAGGCAAAAAAATTTCTCACTCATCTTGCTTGTTTTCCAACCTTGAACTCTCATAATCTCTTGAACACCTCACATAGAGCCTGACTAACTTGTTGATCTGAGAAACGGGGAAACCTCCGACAAGGCAGGAGGAGCAGGGGACAGAGTGTAAGGCCAGCTGTCACAAGGACTGAGAACTCAGATAAAACATTATCTGAGGGCCTTGGTCTTCTCTTCTGAAATTTTTAAAATAATTACATCTAACATCTGGGTTGGATTTGCATGAAATAAAAGGTGACAGAAATGCCTTCAATATGGGCTAGAAGCTTGCTGGACTAACACACCTTGTTCTTTTTCCAAACCATGTTCTCTTGCAAGCTAACATGGATTTATCTAGTAACAAATTTGTTGGCATTTCTTCAACCTACCAGCTCATCTGTAAAATGCAAAAATTTGCAGCTTAAAATAAAATTTAAAAAGCAGGAGGAGGAGGTGGAAGCAGAAAAAAAGAAGAAAGGAAGGAAGGGAGGGAGGGAGGGAGGGAGGGAGGGAGGGAGAAAAGAGGAAAGAAAGGAAGTGAGTACCTAGTTGAGAATGATGTGTCCACACCCTGTACACAAAGGTCTATGTATGAAAAATAGGCAGAACAGTGAGGATCTCAGCCCGTGCTTTTTTTTTTTTTTTTTTAAAGGGAAGGAAAGGTTTATTTGGCTCACAGTTACTGGAGGTTTCAGTCCATATTCAGCTGGGTCCAAAGCCGAGCAACACAGAGCAGAAAGCAACTTTTCATGGGGCGGCAAAGAGCAAAAGCCTAGTATATATGTTTATACTGCAGAATGTTTCTCTGGCACCAGTGGGTGTATGAAATGCTTTAGAATGGACTTGTTTTATCAGTTCCTTTAAGTAAGAATTCTTTATAGACCACAACAGATTGCATATACTAATCATTGTCTCCTCCTTGAGATTTTGCCCTTTCATTGGTGGAGAGTGGAGAGGACTGTTTTCAGCCATAGAAATTTTCTTAGATTCTTTTGTCATAGGATGATAATTTCTATTTAATTTTATCTAGCAATGTGCTTGGAAATACACAAAACTGTATAATTACTTGCCATTGTTGGTATTTGTCAACTTAGGAACTGATCAGGTTTGGCCTTGAGTTAGTGTCAAATGCATGCTAATAGTTGCTTATAATTTCTTATGAATTTTTTTAGGCCGGGAGATGGCTCAGTAGAATAAGTGCTTCCCTGGCAAACACAAGGGCCTGAGTTCAATCCCTGTTTCCACCAAAAAAAAAAAAAAAAAAAAAAATGCTGCTTCAAATGCCAAATGTGATTGTGGCACCAGTTTTTAAATTATACAAATTAGTGTTTTTAACAACTAATAAGTAAAAGACATACTTTTAGTTTTAAATAGATTCTTTGTTCTCAGAACAACTGGGATGAGGAAAAGGACAAAGAAGGGTAGAAGATATATTTATGTGAATATACAGGATAGCTTGAATAATTGTACTGCTGATTTTTGCTGGTCTACTGTAAGGAGCAGCTAATGCTTTAGTTTTCTGTTCTCCTTTTTAGTTTCTTACTAACCTTTTAAATCCATTTTGCATGCTTATGTCTCATAACCTAAACTCATTTGAAGGCAACATTATGCAATATTTCAGCCATTGTTGAATTCTCATCTTGTTTAGTGAAATTCTGTGTAGTTTCTAATGAGTTTTTTTTTCCTAACTTTTTTATTTTTTAAAGATAAAAAATAAGATTCTTTGTTCTCTAAGAGTTTTGTGGGTAGAAGAGTAGAGCAGGCTGATAATTCTAATTCATGCTTATCAGACCTCATGGACTGCACCAGAGCATGTGTGCTTTGTCATTGTGCAGTTATAACCTGTAGACAAGTGCCGTGGTCTTTAATTTTCAGTTAGAATATTGGTGGTTACTGAACACTGTCCTTGTCATTTCTATTTTTGACTTGTGTCATGGCAGAGGAAAAGAAAACAGCTGAAGCCGCTGCCTCAGATGACGAGGTTGTCATTGTGTATGAACTGACCCCCACTGCTGAGCAGAAAGCCCTGGCAGCCACTCTTCGGCTTCCCTCTACCTTCTTCTGCTACAAGAACAGACCAGATTACGTTAGTGAAGATGAAGAAGATGGTAAATCCTTTGTATTTTAAAAGCGTTTTGTTCCTATGAATCTTAATAGTTGGACTGTGGCTTACTTTAAAAGCTTCTTTTGGGCTGGCCAAATAGCTCAGCAGATTAAAGCACCTGCAAGCAGGCGCAGGGGCCAGGGTTTGATCCCCAGGCCTGCGGTGCTGGCCCTGCCGCAGGGCACACTGAGACAGCAACTGAGACTGGGCGTGGTGGTGCGAGCCTATGGTCCCAGCTCTTGGCAGGCTGTAAACAGGCGGATCACTACAACTCCAATCTAGTAGTGAGACCCTGAACACCCTGTAGACGCTTCCCTAAAATAAATAAATAGCTACATGCATACTTTTAAGACATCTTGAAATACAATTATAGGTAGACATTTGCCCTAAGCGAATGTGCATATACCCACTGGGTGTGATGATCAGAAGAATAGCATTCATCACACAAGCAGTTTTTGGGTGGTTGTCATATGCTAGGCAGGTGTTTTGAGGAATCTGAAAGTATTCATCATTTTTCAGAAGCCCTGGAGGTTTAGGAGAGAAAGGGAAGGCAGACAGGCTTCTGATGATGGCGAGCTTTGTGTGCCATAGCGGGTGTTTGCGTGCTCAGAGATAGACCCAGTGGGATCAGTTGGGCAGTGGTGCAGGGGATGGTCTACGTGTAGACATGAGGGTGCGTGAGCAGACCTCCTCGCAGAGGTTGCCCATGAGCTTGAGTGGGCAGGGATTAGGAAGCCAGAGGTGATCGGGTCAGTGGCTAGAAAGTCCTCAAAATTTGACTAGGCATTCTTTTTTAATATTGTCAATTGTACTTTAAGATGAAGATTTTGAAACTGCTGTCAAGAAACTAAATGGAAAACTCTACCTGGATGATTCAGAAAAATGTAGGCCATTGGAAGGAAATCTAGCAGGTATGTTAGGTTTAAATGGCAATGTACAATGTTTTAAACCTATTAAAAGAAACCACATGGTTTGAACATTTGTCATCAGTTTTATTTAATGCATTCATGATAACTGAAAGAAAATACTTAAAATTAACATTGGGTGAACAGCATTTTTGGCCTTTTTGTGATCCTGGCACACCTTACCTGGGTCTGTGGAGTGTACTGAGGATTCTTGGGCAGTTGGACATCATCTGATTTTCTTTTTTGCTTGTGTTACATGAATTTTTTAGATAATGAGAAAGAGTGTGTTATTGTTTGGGAAAAGAAGCCGACAGTTGAAGAGAAGGCAAAAGCAGATACATTAAAGCTTCCACCAACTTTTTTCTGTGGAGTCTGCAGTGATACGGAGGAGGACAACGGAAATGGGGAAGACTTTGAGGCTGAACTCCGGAAGGCGCAGGACGCCCAGGTGGGATGGCCATCCTTGTTTCTGCTAGCATGTTTTCATGATGTGTAGCTGAGATGGTATGGTTGATGGAATGCTCCACATAGCTCGTGGATTACATGTCCTTAGATGGACCTGGTCAAAACCTGACCAAGGTTCTTCTTTTTTTTTCCTTCTCTCCCTTCCTTACTCCCTCCGTTCTTTCTCTTTCTGTGTCTCTTTGTCTGTCTCTTTCTTTCTTGAGACGGGGTCTTGCTATATATGTTCAGGTTGGCCTTGAACTCAGTATGCAGTCAAGGCTGACCTCAAACTCATGGTATTCCTCCTGCCTCAGCCTCCGAAGTGCTGAGAATTAATAGCATCCACCACCATACCCTGCTAACCAGGATTCTTTTTAGGTATGAAGTTCTTTGTATGGAACATTAATATCATATATTGCGACACATACCATCACCCATTTTATTTTAAATAAGGAATATTGTCAGATATTATGATCATAAATTTGTGAGGGACCATGACCTTTTTCAATGTTTAGAAACCAGCATTAAGAACCTAGGATAAGTCTTCTTTGGTCATGGTATATTTTAACTTTCATATGCATTTCGGGTCAATTTGTGTGTATTTTGTCACAACTTTGTGGATTTGTATTCATCAGGGATATTGGTCTATAGTTTTCTGGTGTCATCTTTGCCTCCTATATAAGAGTTAGTGGTGGCATAATTGGATTGGGAAACATTTCCTGTGTTGTTACTTGCTGAGCAGTATTTCAGATTGCAGCCACTTCTCCTTAATTATTGGTGGCAGTGGAACGATGAGTCTGGAGGTGGTTTTTTTTTTTTTAATGTATTTGGTACAGGGTCTCACTATGCAAGTGTGGAGTCGTAGTGATCCCACTCATCAGTGCTGGGATTGTAGGCATGCGCCACCACGTCTGGCCTTGGTGGTTGGCTCAGCATGCCCGTGGTGCTGGGGATCAAACTCTGGTCCCTGAGCTTGCCTACACAGGCACTTAGCCCGCTGAGCTATCTCACCAGCCCTGGAGTTTTCTTAAGAATTTCAAAATACAGTACATACTAGCACTATTTAGGACATCATTCAAGTTATGTCCTTTGAGTGACTTGTAGTGACTTGTTATTTGTGTCTGCAGGGAAAAGTAAAGCCCAAGCTCTGGCTGCATGTTGGGGGTTGCTGCATCCCACGGTTTCAGTACATAGCTTACATACCCAAGGAGGATATCGGCACATAGCCATTCTTGCGGTTTTCACTACCATGTAAATCCAGACTGCCACAAGAGTGGAGCTGCCTGGAGGCTGTGCGCCGCCATGAGTGTGTGCAGCAGATGGAGACAGATGCGATTGGTTGCCTGGGCAGCTGTGCAGAGGTGCTGAGCTGAGCTGCGGCGGAGGCCTTCTGGTGTCCCCAGGGCTCTCATCACTCTCCTGGCTGCCTGTAATGCTAGTGAACTTGTTCGTTGTTCACCCTCCTCTCAGGGCCTCCGCAGGGCCTTGTTGCAGTTGACCTGACAGCAGTGGGGACCTTCTAGAGATGAGTGCCCAAACTGCAACCCGAAACCCACTTACTTATTGAAAAGTACCAACACCCCACTCAAACCTGGGTACTGAGGTTTTGGTTTAGACCAAACAATGTGTACATTAACAATTTTTATTTCGAAAGAAAGATAACATATGTGCCATAGGTTTGCCACCACTGTCCTCTTATGTTTCAGTCCAGACATGATAGACTGGGGAATGACAGAAGTGTAGGTACCGTCTGGAAGCCCACACCCTGGATGTCTTCTGAAGTAGGTTACGACCTCCTTTTTGTCAGTCAGTACTCAACAGCATAGGATCTTGTCACCTCTTGGTAGAAGTCCCAGGGGGAGGACCCAAGCTGTTCGGCTGATGGTGTATGTTCAGCTGGAATCACACCGGCTGCGCTAGATCCTGTCTCCAAAGCTACCACTTCATTGCCTGTTTTCTCTGGAACTGTGGACAAGCCTGTGGATTTGTCTGCTAGAACAGAAATTGAAGAATCTGCAAGCCAAGGTAAAAGTTGCTCTCTATATTTTCTCATTCGTTACATCAGACACAGCTGTAAGTTTGAGATGGACACTGGGTAAACTTCTAAAGGAAACATTCTACAAACTCACTTGAAAGCAAGACTGTGATGATGACTTTTTTGGCACTGGATTTGAGGCCAGGGCCTCACTCACATGTGTTAGGAAGACCCTCGACCATTGAGTGCCATCTCTGGCAGCCCCCCCCCCCTTTTTTTTTTTGAGATAAGAAAGGTTGTGTTATGTAGTTCAGACTAACCTTGAACTCACTGTGGACCTCAGGTTGGCTTCAAAACGTGGTGGTCCTCTTGCCTCAGGTGCCTTAGTGCTGGGATTACAGGTGTGTGTCACTATGCCAGCCAAGCCTTTCTTATTTTTTGAGATAGGGTCTTGCTAAGTTGCCCAGGCTGGCCTTAAGTTTGCTCTTTTGCCCTAGCTTCCTGGTTGCTGAGTCTACAGAGTACTCTACCATTCTAGGTTTGAAAACAAGGGGTCTAAGATACAAATGATGGTCAGAAAAATCCTACTGTCTGCCAGCAGGCATTGGCTAGAGATTCCACAGTTGGGGTTATGGTTATTGGGATTGAAAGTGTTATGACTGACTGACTTTGGCATAAGATGGTGGTTTGCTTGCTTGGTAGTTTTCTTTGTGACAGTGTTTTTTATTAGACCCTTACATGAATTAAATTGTTACCACTCATGGATAGAATATTTAAGTTACATATGAAGTATAAAAACTACAATAGGAGTTTAAATATCTCACAGGTTTAAAAGGTTGCTGAACTAAGTACTTAATTAGAATAACTAATACATTTAGCACTGCTTGCTTCCTGATTTTTCTTTTCCATTGTTTCTTTTTCTTTCTTTTTTTTTTTTGGTGGTACCAGGGATTGAACTCAGGACCTTGAGCTTGCCAGGCAAGCACTTAGTCCACTGAGCTATCTCTCCAGCCCCTCCATTTTTTTGATATGAAGTATTTCTGTAGATTGTTTAGATTTGTATTTGCATTGTGTCTGCATTACTTTTTTAGGTTCAAAATAAGTCACAAGTGATACATTTTTAGGTGCTTTAGTTTTAATTTGCTAGAAGAGTTAGGTGACTTTATAAGTAAAACCTATATATTTTCAGATGAATGAACTAAGACAGCAATTTTAGAGATCATGCCGCTAAACCTGGGTAAAATTCAAACTTGAGGGCTGGGGATATAGCTCAGTGGCACAGCACCTGTGTGGCAAGCGTGAGGTCATGAATTCCATTCCTGGTTGCAAAACAGAAAAGTTATTAAGACTCAAACTTCTGATGACCAAGAATAGTGAAACGTTTGATTTTTATGAGCTTATTTATAATGTAGAACATTGACATTTTTAATAAAGGTATTTCATAAAATCCTGCTTGTTTTAGGGTATAAAAGACTACTCAGCAGAAGCTACGTAGTTTATATGCAGTTGGTGTAGTTAACTTTGCATCTCACTGACTTCTGGCTTGCATTTCGTATTACGGAGTTCAGTAGGAGGGGTAATTGTAGCGTTAGCAGTACCTTACCAGAGTGTGGAAGCTAAACACCCTCCCCTAGCAGGGTATAATATGCACTGTTTTTTCCGTATCCTCAGTAAAGCTTTGATGTTCAGTATGTGTTAAATGAAATAGTGAGTTGTTTTTCTTTTGCCAGTAGAAAACAAAGCAGTTTCATTTGGATTTGGATGTGGCACAGGACTGTCATTTGCAGACTTGGCTTCTAGTAATTCTGGGGATTTTGCTTTTGGCTCCAAAGGTAAGAACAAGAGGAGAAATTTTAATAATCATGTTACAGAATCATGCACAGAAAGAACCAGTCTTTTGTTTCAGTGTTGTAACTAAATCAGTCTCACAGATTTTAAATAATGAAGGTCTTCTACATTTTATTTTTTAATTTTTTATTTTTTGCGGAACTGGGGATTGAACTCAGGCCCTTGTGCTTGTCAGGCAAGTGCTTATTCTACTGAGCTATCTCCCCAGCCCTTACATTTCATTAATGATATAACAATAAGAATTCTTGTGATAGTAGGAATTTTCTCTTAGTGTAGGAAAAATGTAAAACTGAGTTTTAGAATATATCTAACTTTAGTAATATTGTTCTTTTTAACTGTCCACTAAGATTTTTTAAAAAATGATTTGGATTGGAGTATTGTGACGGTAGTATTACTGGTATGCTTTCTCATCCTATGAGTGGTGTTGTCTATGATCCATTTTGGTCACGTGTAGGTGCAGTTGTCTGCTGCGAGAACTGCCCACCTACCGTGCTCCTGCAGCTCTCCGCAGTGGGGGAGGGAGCCGGGGCCCTCCCCCGCTGCGTCATCACTCTCCCTTTCCAGTTAGACTGCGCACACACCTGGGCTTTAAATACTTTATTCTTAAGATTCAACAGGAATTTCTGTGCTTGACTTTTCATCAGAGCAGCTTTTCGTTTTTGTCTGTACTTAGTGTTTTTCATTTAGCTTTAGATCTACTCTCATATGGTTAGAAGTAGTGTTTGAAACTATAAGTGCCTTTTGTTGGCTTTATTCCTGTAGCTAGGAATTGTACTTGGCACACTATTATTTTGAACATTTTCATATGTATATTATCACATTTTTTCTTTTTTTTTTAAAAAAAAAATTTTTTTTAACATTTATTTAGTGGGGGGGGGCAGTGCAGCCCACCAGGGGGCGGGGCTGGCTGGCATGTGGCGCTGGGGGATTGAACCGCGGTCCCTGTGCTTTGCCAAGCTTGTTCCAAGTAGGTGCTTTAGACCACTGAGCCATCTCTCCAGCCCACATTTTTTCTTAATTTTTCAAAGATTTATTGGAACTATGAGTAGTTCAGGGTTAATTTTTTTTTTTTTTTTTTACAGAATCACATCTATTTTTTTCGGATAGACCCCCCCCCCAAAAAAAAAAAAAAATGGAGCTAGGTTTCATTCTTTTTTGTTTGTTTTGGTTTTTTTGGTGGAACCAGGGATCAAACTCAGGCCCTTGCGCTTACCAAGGAAGCACTTATTCCACTGAGCCATCTCCCCGGCCCCTAGGTTTCATTCTTAACAGTGCAACATGTTATAATTCTTTCAGCTGTTGCTATTGATAAAACATTAGAGTTTAAGAGAGGTTTTTTTTTTTTTTTTTTGGTGGTACTGGGGATTGAACTCAGGACTTTGCGCTTGCCAAGCTGGCACTTAAGCCGCTGAGCTATATCCCCAGCCCAAGAGAGATTTTTATAGATGTACTTTAGTGTCTGATACTCTTCTTGAATACAGTGTAGATCCTTTATGGTGAAATATTTGCACCTTTTGATAGATATAGATATTTTTAAAACATATTTAGTACAGGGTCTCACTGTGCAGCTCGCACTTGTAGTGATCCTCCTGTTTACAGCTTCCCCAGCGCTGGGATTACGGGCACGTGCCACCCTACCTGGACTCGGTTGCTTGCTCAGTGCACCTGGTGGTGGGGCTGGCGCAGCATATGGTACAAGGGATTGAACCCTGGTCCCTGCGCATGCCTAAGCAGGCGCTTACTCCGCTGAGCTATCTCACTGGCCCCGTGTTGTTACATTTCTAACCTTGCTTGTTGCCAACTGCTTTGACTTTGACATGCAAGTTGGGACCTCAGTCACAGTGCTGGAAGATTTCTGGGGCTTGCTCATGTCTTTATGACCTCTCCTCATCCGGTAAGACTAGATTACCGATCTTAGTCCACAAATGATGAACAGCCAAGTCCAGGGCCATAATCAGAAGCTCCAAAACCGTTTTGTCCTCCTTGCCCCTTGCCGCCCTGCAATTCCTTGGTACATGGCTCCCTTTGGGTCCGTTCCCCTCCACTGGGTGCTCGCCTATCCCGTGGCGTCTGAGCCATCCGGCTCATCAGCCCTGCTTCAAGGGCTGGGTTTGCATCCCCCGCAGGAGCATGCATATCCTGCGCATATGCAGCCCGTCCGCGGGCCCTTGGTGCCGTTGCAGTCGAGGTCCAGCGTGGCCAGCGGTGCAAGGGGCTTGCTGAGCCGCGGGATGACAGCAGCCCCACCCCGCGCCTACGTCACGTTGTTGATTAGAGGCATTGATAAAGTAATCTAAGCTGGGTAAACAATTAATAAAAATAGGTTCCACTGTTGTTTTTTTTTTTTTTTTTTTTTTTTGTGGTGGAACCAGGGATTGAACTCTGGCCCTTACGCTTGCCAGAGAAGCACTTATTCTACTGAGCCATCTCCCCGGCCTTGGTTCCACTGTTAAATATCATAATTTATTTAACAGATAAAAACTTTCAGTGGGCGAATACTGGAGCAGCTGTGTTTGGAACACAGTCAAGCCGTAAAGTTGGTGAAGATGAAGACTGTAGTGATGATGAAGTAGTTCATAGTGAAGACATCCACTTTGAACCGATAGTGTCATTGCCAGAGGTAAATGCTGAGAAAGTTTTACTCGTAGCATGTTTTGTCCATTGAAGTTTAAAGTATAGCCTTGCTTGTTGTGTAGGGATAGTGTTTCTTTTAGAAGTTCTCCTTAGGAGTCCAGCCTGTGTGTGTGATGTGACAGGCATGAAACCGAGGTCTGTGCACATACTGGGTAGGGCTGTCCTGCTGAGCTATACTCCAGCCCTGCTCTGAAGGCTTTGCATTTACCTGTGCAATTTGGGGGAAGAAATAAATAATTTTTTAAAGTTAAAATATCATGTTTGTTTGCATAATTGTGAAGACCAAAGTAAGTTCTCATACTTGGCAAAAGACCTTTCATTAAGAATTAACATATACTTTTTAAAAAATAAGAATGTTTTTCACAAAATTTATTTTTTGCTATTTTTCATTCTGTCAGTGTTTAATGTTCTCTTTTTAAGTGCCAGCACTTTTGAAACTTCTTCTGACCTAGAAAGGCAGGCATCTAAGAGGAGCCTGGATGCTACACAGTAGGAAACAAAGGAAAGATAAAGTCGGTCTTCACTGTCTGCACCAAATCGGGTGTGTTCCCAGTCTTAGGGTCTTACCATCAGTTTCATACTAAGAGATCTGTTAACGTCATTACGAAGAAGACACATTAGTAGGAAGGTTAGATGTGGGGTGTGTTATAATATTTATTACAAGAGTCAGTTATGAATAATCATCTGTTCGTAGGTGGAAGTAAAATCTGGAGAAGAAGATGAAGAAATTTTATTTAAAGAGCGAGCCAAACTGTATCGATGGGATCGAGATGCCAGTCAGTGGAAAGAGCGCGGTGTTGGGGACATCAAGATTCTCTGGCACACAGTGAAGAGTTATTACCGGATCCTGATGAGAAGAGACCAGGTCTTCAAAGTGTGTGCAAACCATGTTATCACTAAAACAATGGAGTTAAAGCCCTTGAATGTTTCAAATAATGCTTTAGTCTGGACTGCCTCAGATTATGCAGGTGAGTTGCTGCCTGTTGATGCTGCTACTTTCCATTCATTCATTTGACTTCTAAAACCTGTAACAAATGTAACATGATATATAAGTTATTTTAATATTAAAGTCATTTTATTCTTTCACTAGATGGAGAAGCAAAAGTGGAACAGCTTGCAGTGAGGTTTAAAACAAAGGAAATGGCTGAATGTTTTAAGAAAAAGTTTGAAGAATGTCAGCAGAGTTTATTGAAACTTCAGAAAGGACAAGTGTCACTGGCAGCAGAACTGTCAAAGGAGACCAACCCTGTGGTATTCTTTGACGTTTGTGCAGATGGGGAGCCTCTAGGAAGGGTAACCATGGAGTTGTTTTCAGACATCGTCCCTCACACTGCTGAGAACTTCAGGGCACTGTGCACTGGAGAGAAAGGCTTTGGTTTCAAGAACTCTACTTTTCATAGAGTAATTCCAGATTTTGTCTGTCAAGTGAGTATTAATGATCACTGTAGAATTCTAGAAGAGTGTGCCACACTAGCTTCAGAAGTGGGAGCATTTCTTCTTGGCTCCATCGTGTAGTTGTCTTAGACTTCTTTTGCTTTCCTGCTCAGTGGTTGGCCTCCCCACTCAACTTCCCACTTCTGTCCTAAGCTTTGGTTCCAGAGGGTCTGCATTTCTAATACATAGTGGAACCTGCCAGAAACTGAAGGTGGAGAAAAAACATTTTATTTTATTTGTATTATTTTTCAAGATAGGGTCTTGCTGTGCAGTTCAGGCAGGCCTTGAACTCAATGATCCTTCTGCCTCAGCCTCCAAAGTATCAGGATTACAGGCATGTGCCATCATGCCCATCCTTTTTTTTTTCTATTCTCACAAAAGTGTATACTCATTTTTCAGGTTGCATTTTTTCCTCCAAATTGCATTTTTAAGGAAGCTCGGCAATTAGGATCTATCCTGTTATGTTTCTGTGTGTATTTCAATGCATTACTTAGGACTGCTGTTAAATGAAAAATAATTTTTTTTCCAGGGAGGAGATATCACCAAACATGATGGGACAGGAGGAAAGTCTATTTATGGAGATAAATTTGAAGATGAAAACTTCGATGTGAAGCACACTGGCCCTGGCTTACTATCTATGGCCAATCGAGGCCGGGATACGAATAATTCTCAGTTTTTCATAACACTGAAAAAGGCAGAACATTTGGACTTTAAACATGTAGTATTTGGGTTTGTTAAGGATGGCATGGATACTGTGAAAAAGATTGAATCATTTGGTTCTCCGAAAGGTTCTGTTAGTCGAAGAATTAGTATCACAGAATGTGGACAGCTATAGAATCATTGTTTCTCATAGTAAATTTTATCTGTCTAAGCAGTTGAATTGAAGCTTACCTGTTACAGACTATATGGTGATTGTGTTCAGCTTTGGAAAGTGGACGTTTCCATTGTATAAATGTAAAATTGCAGCTTATAGCTGTTGTCACTTTTTAATGTGTTATAATTGACCTTGCATGGTGTGAAATAAAAATTTAAACACTGATGTATTTCAGGTGTACTTGTGTTTATGTACTCCTGACATATCTATAATAAAGTGGAATAATACTAATCTTGTTAAAAGCAATAGACCTTCGTAAACTGTTGAAGGAATATGATATATGCAATTAAATTTTTAATTCCTTTTAAGATGTCTGGACATCCTGCATGGATATACTTATGATTTGAGTATAGGGACCACAACTCAGATAATTTAATTTTAGATCTGAAGTACACATATGGGTGATCTTAACTATTGATGTGCTTTCATATGCACAGGCTTTCATGAGTGGATAGAGCCACACAAGGTAGAGTGTTAACCAAAGTGCTCTTCTGTATAATCTTTTACGCTTCCTGTATAGTTCAAATTAACCTTTAAGTGGAATACCTTTTTTCTTAAAATATGTAGCTTCCTGTACCCTTTGAAGATAGTTTTTAAGAATCAACTGACTTTTCCCTAGTTTTGTGGTTCTGTCTCTCTCTGTTATCTATCTCTCTCTCGTTATCTGTCTCTACTACCTCAGAAACTTCAGCTTGGTCCTGATGATAGAATTGAATTTTTCCTTGCAGTTATTGTGATAAAGTATGGATATTTTTAAAAGGTCTATACCATGTTCTTTGGTTAAAGATTTGCTTTATACTAGATTGTTGCAGTACTTTTTTCTGGTGAATTTTGTAGCAGAAATAAAGTGACAGTTGATAACTGCCATGACATTTAAAAGTTTGTTGCTTGTGCATCGAGTTGTCTGCTCATTGTAGTAAGCAGTGCAATTAATTAAAGGTCAGTAAATTTAAACTGCCACATGTTTTCACAAGGTTGACACACATTCAAAACGTATTGGGAAGTCGTTTGTGCCAGAAGGCAAACTCATCAAGGTGAGTGTGGAACTTCAAGGAGTCCAGCTGAAGCACCATTCTGTATATTGTGCTGTGCACACTGATTCCCTAGGGCGCTTGTGTGCTTCCCGGTGAGAAAGCCTTCTGTTGTGGAGTGAGGAAAGGTGGTGGGGTTTCCTCTCCCAAGTGGTGAGCTAGAAGTAGGATAACCCGTGTTGCTGACCTGCTTAAGGACATTGCCACAAAGAAACCTACCCTGCCACTTGTGTCATTTGAGCCTTAGAGAAGTGTGGGTCATCTGTGTGTACAAATTTTAGAAATGACTTCTTTGGAAACCAGTGTAATTTGAAAAGTGTATTGTGACTTTTCAGCTGAGACCATTGATGCCATTGTCATGAATTTAAGGAAACGCAAGTGCTTTTCAAGAGTAGATTTCATACTGTCCTAATAAGACAGTAGTTATGAACTCAAAAGCTTTGAAAACTACCAAAAATTTGACAAAGTCAAATGTAAACTGACTTCACTATTAGTGTCCCCAAGATGCTTGGAAGTGGCTTGAGGCATTTATAAAAATACCTTGGTGTCACATGTCAGGAGAGTACTTTGTGGTTTCTGTATGCTACTATAAACTTAAGTTGATATGTAATTTTTTTCAGACTGGCTGGGTTTTATATTGTTCCATTAAAATTGTTTAAACTACATTTTAAGTAATTTATGGAAAAAAGTGTTGTTTCTAAGTTTTAGATTTTAACAAGTTTGCTGAATTGATCTACAATTTGGGCCTTAAAAATAATCCAGACAGGACTGGGGGCATGGCTCAGTGGAATAAGCGCTTCCCTGGCAAGCGCAAAGGCCTGGGTTCAATCCCCGGCTCCGCCCCTCCCCCCAAAAAAATGAATAAATCAGACAGCTGGGCGTGGAGGTCCACGCCTGTAATCTCAGCACTCTTGGGGAGACAGGAAGGTCGCTGTGCGTTTGAGGCCAGGCTGGAGATCGTCTAGGAAAACAACAGAACCAACCACAACGCACTGGACAGCCGACGTACAGCTGCCCTCCGCCTTCTCGCTTTGGCTGGATAACCTAGCACATAATACGAGGCGCCCCGTCGGCGCGGCCGCTCCCGCGGTTTTCCCGAAGGAAGTGTGCGGAGAAGCGGGGTCCCCTGCTCGGTCGTCCGGTCCGGGCGGTCTCGCCTGCGGGGCAGACGCCCCACGAGGCTGCCCCGTCCAGAGACGCCTGAGTCATCGTCGCGAGCCCCAAGTGCCCCCAAGGCGGACCGCAGACCGCTGCCTCCCGGGCCCGCCCGCCCGCCTACGCGCCCGCGCGCC